TTTTTAAATCCAGGGACGCGGCATCATACCCACTTAGGTAGGTTGTCTTTAGCTGCCCTCAGTAATGTTTTATAATTTCCTACAAGCGTCCCAAAATACTGATTCCTCTAAGTAAACCAGGGAGTCTGGCCAAGGCCTGGGGTTAGCAAGCTTTAGGTTGCGCCAGCCTTGAACAGAGATCAGCTCACCCTAGGAACTTAGAAGATTATTATCCATTTTCTACACGTGAAGTGGTGGGAAAAGGGCCTGGAGGCAGTGGGAAGTTTTTGTGGTTTTCTGCTTCTGACCAGTTGCCCAGATGCTACGATGTGAGCAGGCAAGAACGCCACCCGTAATGTTTCCAAACACTTTAAGATCCTGAGTTGCCCACAGTGTACTTCTGGCCCATTTATTTTCACAAGCCTGTTGGTACAATGTGTTCCAGAAATCAAGAGGAGTTACTTTTGCAAAAAATGATAACATTATTATGTACTGAGCTTTTGCCAGGTCTGGGCATGGTACAAAAATCCTAAGTCTCCAAACATCCTCTTATTAGTCAGCCTAATCTATGTTTTACAGATTAAAAAGCTGGATCTTTGAGAGGAAATTGTAAAACCTAGGGCCTTACTTCTATTTGAGGAGCTTGAACAGCTGAAAGGGCCTCCATGATGCTGGGCCTATAGCCCAGCGATTACTCCAGGTGTAAGACCTAGGGCCTTACTTCCAGGAGCTTGAACAGCTGAAAGGGCCTCCATGATGCTGGTCCTATAGCCCAGCGATTACTCCAGGATCTTGAGGAGCTGTGAGAGTCACCCAGGAAGGAACACACCGGACTAGTTGGAAAACAGACCTTTATTAGTCTGGCCGGACGGCACTCCCAGAGCCAAGCAGCTCAGAGGCAACAGCTCAGGGGCTTAGGCTGTTTTTATAAGGGGATAGGCAGGGTGGGGGTCTATAACAGTTGCTTACAGAATGTCCCAAGGTTTTTAAAATATTCCTTCCAGGCAGACAAGGAGTGAAACAATCTCATCTATTCACCCAGAACTACTAAACATTCACTTGTTAATTTACATTAATCACAGTTGAGACTAGAATTTAAGATTACAAAGTTACGCAGTTCCACGAAATGTAGCCACTAAGTGGTACAGCCATTTCTGGTGTTCAAACCCTTCCTCTATAAAATTCATAGAAATACTGGATAAAATGGACATTTTTTTTTTTTTCCAAATAAATAGTTGAACTTTGGTACTGGGGATCAAACTCAGGTCCTTGCGCTTAGCAAGGCAGTTAGCAGAACCACTGAGTTAAATCCCCAGCAGAATAAATAGCTGAGCTTTGAAGGAAGGAAATCTCTTAAATTCCAGAGGCAAAGAGAATGATGAAACCTAGTAACCAAGCAGAGGTTTTTTCACTGTAGGGTCCCAGGCGATACGACCTGGGAACTTTGACCTTGTCAGGAGCTGAAACTCAGGGATTTCCAGTGCTCTCAGTAAAAGGGGGGCTCAAACTCTGTGCTACTGGCAGAAAATTCATAGATCCATCCATCCATCCACTCACACTTTTGAAATCTTTTTTTTGGGGGGAACAGGGGATGAAACTCAGGACCTTCTGTTTGCAAGGCAGGCGGCAGTACTACTGAGCTGAATCCCCAGCCCTTGAAATCTTACTGTATGCTAGGCTTATGTTCTTGGTACTTGGAACACAGTGGCAAAAATACAAATCCCTACCCTCAGGGAATTCATATCCTGGTAGAGGAGAGACAGAAATTAATAAATATAATATGTAAGTATACCAAAAAAAGAACATTTATTGGAAAAACAGAACAGAGAACAAGGGATCAGAGAGTTAACAAGGGAATGGCTTTCTTGGCCTGGACTCTGAGAAGGAAGAAAGAATTATCTCCTGCAATTTCTAGGCACGATCTGCATAAGGAGGGGCACCTTGGTTGTAGCTGACATTATTTAAACGCTGCAGGAACAAGGCAAGTAAATAACAGAAATTGGTACCAGTAGCCTTTCCTCACCCTTCCAGGGGTAAGGAGAGGAGGTGCCTGACAACACAGAAGAAAATCCTCCATCCAGGATGCCATGCTTTCAACACGCAGAGCCAGCCAGACAGCTCACAGTGGACAATATGAAGGCGTGGATGCAGATTTGGGATCCCCGACACCTTGTGCTTGGTGCTGAAGCCCATACTCTTAACTGCTCTGCGCAGACCCTCTGAGAAGCCCCAGAACTTCCACCACACGCCCTCAAGGGGAAGTTGCCCATGTGCCCACAGCAGTTAGGACCACAGATTTTGGAGTTGGAAGGGACCCAAGCAATCACCCACTCCAGTTTCCCCACGGGGGGGCGGCATTTTTCTGGCACACAACTCACAGATGTTATCAGCTTTTACTTGAATACCTTCAGCGAAGGAGAGCACATTTCTTCAGCGGAAGGTAGAGGCCGAGCAATGCCACCTGAGGAGACAGGTCGGGCAGAGCCCTGGGTGAGGTGGTCTTGGGCAGGGTAATTAACCAGATGAATCTAAACTCTCTTCCTATCTATAAAATGGATATTATTCATCTTATATGGTCAGGAAGAGAGCTATATAGGCTAATGTAAATCTTATCTGACGCATAAGAGATAACGGAATTTTCCCTTCTCCTGAATCTCTAAATCCATACACCACTAACGGACTGCATCTAATCAGATTAGATGTGCTTCTAGAGATAAGATTTTCTAAAAATCCAAATCTCAGGGCCGGGGATTTAGCTCAGTGGTTTCACCTCATGGTTTGCAAGCACAAGGTCCCAATTTCAATCCCCGGTACAGAACAGAAAAAAAAAAAAATCCAAATCTCAGTGAGGACAAGTCTCATTCCATTCAGCAATCTACTGGGAAAGGGTCACGTCGTCGTTTAAAAAGTAGCATTCCTTTTTAATTGCTAACCAACGCTGTCTGCATCTCACGCCTCTCTGATAACCTGTGTGAAGTCTACTGGGCTGTGTTCTATCTGTGCTTGTCATGGAAGGGCCAGTCTGAGAAGCCTCTCAACTCGGGCTAAACACAAGCTCCACTGTGAGGGGTGTGTGTGTGTGTGTGTGTGTGTGTGTGTGTGTGTGTGTGTGTGTTTTAGAAGCTTCAAGAATAAACTTCACTAACTTAGATTCCTTTCTTTAAAATTAAGGTATTAAACTGGGCACCTATAATCCCAGGTACAAATTCTCTGGAGGCAGAGGCAGGAAGATTGCACATTCTAGGCTAACCTGAGCAACTCAGTGATGCTGGCTAGAAGTAAATAAATAAGTAAATAAACAAACAAATAAGCTAGGCTGGGCTGTAGCTCAGAAGCAGGGCACCCCTGGGTTTAATCCCAGTACCAATAAAAATAAAGAAAAGAAATTGTTTACATGCAATATAATTCATCTGTTTTAGATGAATAATTTAATAGATTTTGGTAACTTAGAACACTGTGTAGCCACCCTCATACTAAAGATGCCACATTTTAAAAATCTTCCTCTTTAGGTCTTGATTTTATTTGATTTTACAAATTAGCTAGGATCTGCAGTGAGAAGTTTGGAAGCAAAGGCCGAGGCAACCTGCCCTACCAAACGAGGAACGCCAGGCGTGCCCGTAATCCCAGCACTTGGGAGGCTGAGGCAGGAGGATCACTGTGAGTTCAAGACCAGCCCCTCGGCTACATACTGAGTTCCAGGTCAGTCTCAACTACATAGTGAGACCCTGTCTCAACAAACAAACAAACAAACAAACAAGCAAAAACAAAAAACCAAATGAGGGACACTTAATCCTAAAAACAAACAAAAAACAAAACCCAAAAAACTTATGGGGTATAGAAGTCTTCAAATATTTGAAGAGCTATTTTGCAGAACAATCACTAGAAGGAAAATATAAGGACTATTTTGGCTCAATATAAAAGAGAGTTTTCTAAAAACAGTATAACAATGGCTATTTATACGTAATGGAATTACTCAGTTAAAAATGAAGACTGGGGTGTAGCTCAGTGGTAAAGAGCTTGCCTGGTATGTCTGAGACCCTAGGTTCAGTCCCTAGCACACCACACACACACACACACAAATGCACACACACTCACAGGAGTTAAAAATGAATCAATCTAGATCAAACACCTGGGATTTGAATTAAAGTGTCCGGACCCTAAATCCAGATTTTCCCACTCAACCTTTCTGTGGGAGTTTTGCAGGAGGTGAAGAGAGGTCAGAGCATAGCCTCAAGGTAGACGATGACCTGATACCGCATAAGGAAGTTGTACAGCTGTCTGTCAGTTTAAACCCCCGCAGGCACTGGGTCAGGTCAGGCCTGCACCGCGGGCAAAGCCAAGGCCCAGAGATGGGCCCAGAGATGGGACCCGCGCTGCCAGGCGGGAGGAAGGGTCTCCTTGCCTCACTGCCTGGAGCAATCTCTTGCCCCCACCTCGGTGTGGGCTGAGGATCCAGGTGAGTGTGAAGCCAGTGCCAGAAGGGCCTCAGCTGCTCCTCCTGGCCGTGAGGGCTGCACAGGTGCCTTGCACTGCGGGGCTGGGCTGCGGAGAGGCTCCCAACATTTATCAGAAGGTGGGAGAACAGAAACAGCACTCAGGTGGGAGGAGCATATAGGAGGAAGGGGGACGTGGGAAACCACAGCCTGGGCTGCGCTGCGGAGCCGGGAGCTGGTGAGTAAGAGCCCCGGGGGGCCAAAGGCACAAAAGGCAGAGGAGCAGAGGGGCTTGGCCTGTTTACCCGAGCCCGCACAGGTTCCTGCCCCCAGCAAGGCCTTAGTGTCTCGGGTGATGACCCTTGGCCCTGACCCAAGGGTGGGGAGGCTCCTCACTTGAAGAGGGGTTGGTTGGGTGTGACCGAAGCATCTGCCTGAGGGAGAAAACGAGGACGGCGGAGGCACCTCCTCCCAGCCTGTCCCTGCCCTCTTCTGCCCTCCTCCCCTCCTCGATGTCTGGGAGCCCAGACGGAAAGCTGTTCGGACGCGTATTGGAATTGTCTGGTAGGTAGGCCGGAGAGCAGGGCTGCGGAGGGGTTTTCTGATTTTCCAGCCGAGGGCCCAGCCAGCCAGCTGGCAGCTAGGACAGAGGTCAGTTGAACTCAGACCACACATCCCTGTTAAACACATCAGCTTTTAACTCAATCTTTGTTCAAAGTCCAGTGAGTTGTAAGAGTAGAGCTCCTGGCAGAGAGAATTCCCAAGCGACAGAGCAGCTCCTCTTCCTCCCGGAAACAGGTAAGAACTGGCTCGTGTCTCCCCGAGTGAGGGTGCCGCCTGGGCCTGAACTGCCTCAATCCCCTTTCCTGAGGAGTAGCCGGCGGGAGAGGCGCTGTGCAGAAGGCATCAACTGGGCCCTTTGCTGATGGCTGAGGGTCAGCGAGGGGAGGGGTTGCTCGAGCGCTGAGACTCTTTCTGCTGGAGGGGGTGCAGCTCTGCTTCACAAAAGGGTTGGAAAACTGATTTCAGCTAAAGTTTCCCAGGTTTGGCTGTATGGCCAAGAGGGAGACAACAGATTTCACAGCTCCCCCGGAAGTCCTCCGAGGACTTCTTACTGCACAGGGGCTTTGGGTATTAGAGCAGACTCTCTTCCCTAGGCAGCCCTAAATCAAGCATCTCCCCTCTGTCACGCAGCACTGAGGGAGGAAAGAGCAATGGATTTTAAGCCGGCCGAATTTTAAAACGTAGGTTCCCAGGCTCTACCCTTGGAAGTTTCTAAATCTCTGGGCGGTGGATCTGAAGACGCTTGTTACTTTGAAGTTCCCACAGCTGATTCAGATGTGCTGGCAGGTTTGGGAACTGCTATAGCTGATTTCCTAGCCAGACAAGTCAAGAGACTTAAGTATGCCATTTACCTAAGGGTTTACTGGCTGTGAAGACTTCTGGTCTGGATTGGCTCCAGCTATATGCAAGAGGAACTGTTTCTCACTTTCTGAAATCCCTGCATTGTGGCACTGAATGGCTCAGTTCCGTATCCAGATGTCACGGGGGCCCTGATTGCCTCGGGCCATGGCTGTCCAGTCACGTGGGGTCACATATTCTTTCCCACTCAAAGAACTTGGGGACTTCTTGTGGTGTAGCTAAGTGAATTGCTTTTATCTTGGACTTTTTTATGTTCTCTGCACCATAAAATAGGAAGTTGTTAACAATAATGTCTTACGTTCATAGAGTACCAGCTAGACCACTTCTATCCATCTAGGGAAAAGAACACTGTTCTGGACTCCACATAGCCAGGGTTTCAATTCAGTTGTTAACGGGCCGTTAGGCTAAGTCACTTAGCCAACTGCAGCCTCAGTTTTGTCATCCGTCAGACAAAAGCCTGTCATCTTTTCCCTGGGGTGGTTGTGTACCAGGGGATTAAATGCACAGATGTAAAATGCTAACATTTGAACCGCGTGTCTCCAAAGACTCTGCAGAATAATGGAAAGAAACATCCATGCCGTCAGTCGAAGGCCTTGTTCTAGTCTTTAGTCTGCTGAGCCTCTGTGCTTCCAAGTCCAACTAAAAGTTGAGACTACATGATGATTAATATCCTTTCCTACCTACCAAGTATAGGGTGGATCCTGGTGCTTTGCAGTCTGGCTCCTTGTCATCTGGCTATGAATTTGATGTCCCTTCCTTGTAGGCAGGACTTCCACCCCACTACCATCTCTATTATTTGTAACATCAGAAAACATCTTGTCTATCACCTTTGAAGGATGTTACTTTTATTTATTTATTTAGGGCGTGGTGGCGCACGCCTGTAATCCCAGCACTCAGGAGGCTGAGGCAGAAGGATCGCTGTGAGTTCGAGACCAACCTGGGCTACACAGTGAGTTCCAGGGCAGTCTCAACTATATAGTGAGACCCTGTCTCAAACAAACAAATAAACAAACAAACATAAAACAAAACAAAAAATAAAGGGCCGGGGATTTAGCTCAGTGGTTGGCAAGTGCAAGGACCCGAGTTTGATCCACACACACACACACACACACACACACACGCACAAAAAAAACAAAAAACAAAAAAAATAAATTAAAAATATTTATTTATTTATTTATTGGTTTTTTTGTAGACAAGGTCTTGCTACATATTATGAGCTGGCCTTGAACTCGCCATGATCCACTTGCCTCAGCCTCTCAGCATGGGTTTTACAGGCGAGCGCCACTACACCTAGCATTTTTTTGTTTTTTGAGACAATCTCACTATGTAGTTGAGACCGACCTGGAACTCATTATGTAGCTCGGGCTGGTCTTGAACTCACAATGATCCTCCTGCCTCAGCCTCCTGAGTGCTAGGATTATGGGCATGCGCCACCAGGCCCGGCTGCTCCAGCTTTTAGAACAGTGCCTGACACAGAATCTTAGATGTTTGGATAAATGGAAGTTACGTGGAAAGGAAGGAGCTAGAAGATTAGAAGGTGGTTGTTTTTTTTTGTTTTTGTTTTTGTTTGTTTTTTGGTACTGGGGATCAAACTTGGGTCCTTGTGCTTGCGAGGCAGGTGGCGGAAGAAAGTGGTTGTTTTGACAAGCTACTCAGAATCAGAGGCTGAGGAACTCTGATACTCTCTGGGCATTCAAAGTCCAGAGCCTGATCACTTGGTTAAATGGTTCTCCATTTGTTGCATGGAAATTTGAAGTGGGCAGCAAGACAGGGCTGGACATGTTTTCCTCAAGATCATAGCAGCTCTTTCCTTTGGTCTTTTATGAGGAACGGACCAGTTTTTCTTAATCTGCCTGATGAGTATCATAAATAAGTGACTGACAGAATAGCATTGGGATTAGAGACCTGGATTCCTAGTGAAACTTTACGTCCTAAGTTTCCATGTTTTCATTAGTTAAATGAGCAAGAGAGATTCTGATTCTTACTGTTCTTAGGGTTAAATGGGAAATGCACACAATGCTTTGTACATCCAAAGTGCTATTATGATCTTCGATGCTACTCTTGTGATCTTCTGACAGCTTTGTGATACGCATGACCCCAGGGAGTGAAACCCTGGCAGTGGCAAGGAATTCGATAATAGAAAGACAGCAGCTATGATCTGCTTTTGGTTAGAAACAGCCACCAGCTTCTGAGGCTCCAAGCCTTGTTAGAAACACCGGTACTCATTTTCTTGCCTCTCGGTGGCAACGTGGAAACGCAAAGCTAACCGAGAAAAGCCCTCGGGTTTACCACCAGTTGCACCGAGTACATTGCTGGTGGTGGGAGAATCAGGGCTATGGTGCCTACTCTTAAGGTCGAGCATGTATTTTTCCTTTATGGTGCTGGGGTTTCAAACAGGGCCCAGTGAATGCCAGCAAGGCAGCCTGCCACTGAGCTACACCCCCCCGAGGGAATTTTCTTGATGGAAACACATGACCTAAACACTGCAGCTCCTCTGTAATCTCCAGGATGGCGCCCCTGACCTGCTTGTTTTCTTGAACATAGGCATGTTGAGCTCCGGTCTTCCTCACCCATTCACCACTCCGTGAAGGTACCTTGTGATGTTTCTTCTGCCTGGGCACTTCTTTCCCTAGGCTGACTACGTGTTCCCGTAACACACGGTGTGGCTCAGGCTGGAAGTAGGGTAGGCGGGGGAGGGGGCCCAGACCCCGCTGAGTTTGAACCCAGTCGCTGCTTGGCCCAATAACATGTGACGACCTAACTTCAGAATCCTTCTTTTCCTTGTGAAATGGCCCATTAGGTTTAACTTGGAGCTCATAAATAGTACAAGTGCTCTTTCCTAGAGCCTGAGAGCTCAGTAAATGTGTACACCCACTAGAAAACATTGAAGACATTCCGGTATCCATACCGTTCATTCCACACCACCTGTAACCCCTCTGATTAGACTCTGGGTTCTGTGACGGCACAACCTGGGTCGAGCCGATACCTGTCCCACTAAGTACTAGGTAAACTTATTGGCTGTTGTGGTCAGGGTTGGCAAGGGAGTGGATTTAATACAGGACACATCATTTGTAGGATTATCTCATAGTAGTCACCCAAAAATGTCAAATGCAGAGGAGTGCAAGACATCTGTTTGCCTACTAGAGGCCCAAAGAATCCAGCCAAGGGCCTGGGGCCTATTTGCAGAGGAGTGCAAGACATCTGTTTGCCTACTAGAGGCCCAAAGAATCCAGCCAAGGGCCTGGAGCCTATGGCAGTGTCCCTCACAAGTCCAGCTGAAGGCCCAGAGCCCGAGGCAGGTCCTCCAGGAGTCCAGCCAGTGGCCTAGAGCCCACGCAACAACGCCTGCTTGTCCATACGGAGGGTCTGCACCTGGAAGGCCCAAAGGCCAGTGGTGGAGGTCAGAGAACCTGCACCTGCCGAGTGAGGGCTCTGCCCTGAAGCCAGGAAGTGATTCGGGGCAGATCACAGCTCCCTGACGAGAACAGCAGCCATTTCCAGCGACCGAGAAGCCCCGAGCTCCCTCTCTGAGGACAGCCTCCCTCTCTGAGGACAGCCAAGTTCACATCGGGAAAACCAACCCCGGCAAGCTTCTCCTAGAAAATCAATATTCCCCTCCAGGTCTCTTTTTATGTCATTGGCCACAACCCTCAGGTGGGTCTTCCACACCCAGATCACGCTGATTCCGCTCAGCTGGGCGCTCCAAGTTGCTCATTCATTAATCTACCGCACTGGCTGTATAAATGATGCTTAAAATTCAAAAGATACACATACTTTCAGTCTGGTAGGGAAGGATTTGTATATAATCTAAATTTTGGACTGTGCCTTGGTTTTGAATTTATTGACTTGGAAAAAATATTTATCCTGTACAGTGGACCCTTACGAACTCCATTTGTTCATGAGGGCTGGGTTGTAACTCGAGTTGGTTATAAGTCCAGACTATTTTTTTCCACAAGAAATAATGGAAATACCCATAATGTGTTCCGAACCTTCCAAAGTACCCCTTAACCTTTTCATAATAAAAAGGGTTTTGTAATGAGCGTAATTTATCAGAAACATCAATCATTTTCCTAGTGTATTTACCAAAAAGGTGTGAGCTGTGCCTGGTTTACCAGAAACACCAATTTCGTACTGCACGCACCATTTAAGTCGACATCTCTGGCCTGCAGGAAGGGAGCATGGAATGGAAGGAGGTTTTGGTTTGGAGAGAGAGGCCCCTTCCATGACAGCATCAGGAATCTGGCTCTTGGTGTCCTTTCTCTCCTCGGGAGAGTCTGGAGCCCACGGGCACCTGCTTCTGGCTCACTGGGTCTCAACCTTTTCAGACCTAAAAACTGGTCTAAGGTTGTCTGTTTCTGTCTTTCCTCTAACACTGC